CCTGGGGGTGGAGGGCAGTGAGACCGCACAGGAGAAAGCAGGGAGGGGCCATGCTTGCAGGCTACACACAGCTGACTCTGGCGGGGCAAGGTTTGGGTGACGAGTGTCACACACCCTGGGTCCTGGTGAAAGGCTTGGGTAATGACTGTCACACCTCCCTGGGTCCTGGTGTAAGGCTTGGGTGACGAGTGTCACACACCCTGGGTCCTGGTGTAAGGCTTGGGTGACGAGTGTCACACACCCTGGGTCCTGGTGTAAGGCTTGGGTGACGACTGTCACGCCTCCCTGGGTCCTGGTGAAAGGCTTGGGTGACGACTGTCACGCCTCCCTGGGTCCTGGTGAAAGGCTTGGGTGACGACTGTCACGCCTCCCTGGGTCCTGGTGAAAGGCTTGGGTGACGACTGTCACGCCTCCCTGGGTCCTGGTGAAAGGCTTGGGTGACGACTGTCACGCCTCCCTGGGTCCTGGTGAAAGGCTTGGGTGACGACTGTCACGCCTCCCTGGGTCTGCATCTTCATCTGTAAAGTGGACTTAAGATCCTGAGATCAGCTGGTGTATATCAAATCTGGCATCTTGCTTGGCACTTCTCAAGCCCTTGTAGCTGTAATATTTCAGCTGTTACATAACATACAGATTAGTTAAATTTAGCCAGCAAGTTTTTGGTACCTTGCAGGCACAAGACTCTGTGTCAGCATACTAATGCAGCCAGGAAGGTCAGCCCAGGCCCTCGGCTCCTGGCCTAAAAGATGCCCAGTTCTAGCTGGACAGTTTTCTTCATTACTGTTCAAAGCATCTGTGATGTACGAGGAGCCCTGGGCATCCCCAGCAGATACTGCCTGTCCAGACCGCACAGAGAAGGCTGCTGGCGGCTCTGTCCTCCACGGACTCATCCAGGGAGGAAGAATGGCCATTTCTTGTCCTTCCACCCTCTGCTCGGTGGCAGGCAGGTGGCCCACTGAAAGCTGTGGGATGCCTTAGGGGCCAAGGGGAGAGGTGGGGCTGGAAGAGCCTGGGGGGGGGGCTGTGATGGGAGTAAAGAACTTTCCACAGGGAGCCCTGTGTGCTAAAGATGAGAAGTGGGCTGGCTTCCTGTGGTCCCAGCGCCTGACAGCCATGGTCTCCAGAGCACATGCTTCTGTCTCAATGAGTGACCCTGCGACGGGTCCAGGTTGGTAGCCTGGTCTCGTGGTCTCCAGCATTCATGTAGGAGCAGCGTCCACACTTGGCTTTGTTAAGTCGTCTCCTGTGAAGAACCTGAAGACTGACTTCCTGAGTGCCGAGGGGAAGAACTGCTGTCTCTGGGGCCTTGTGCTTATGTCTGCATCACCATTGATGCCAGGCCAGCAATCACACTGCGCGCGTGAAATGAAATGCACAGTGAGAGAAGATGGCTGTCCTGACTTCACTGTAGAAGAAAACGGCAGCTGCTGGCCCAGAGCCTTCCATCTCTATTACAATGAAGAAAACAGCTCCCCCTTTCTGAGAAGCCATTTAAAAGTAACCCTTAATACTCCAAGGTGAATAGATGTGTGTATCTGCAAACTGCCCCAGACGCTTAGCCTTCTGGGAGATTGGCTTTGTGGTAGCTCCAATCCAAGGGCAAAGGAGGAGGAAGGGTTCCTGCAGTCACAGCTGACACCAGGCCAGGAATACAAGCTGCAGGACACACCCCACCTGTGCCCAAGTCTCCACGGCCTCTGGAGCCTTTGTGCTGTGTGGCGATTTCTCTCTTGCACAAGTAAAGCCTGTCTGGGGGTCAGAGAATGGAGCTTGCTACTAGCTAACCATAGAGGTCTGGAGGTCTGTACAGACAGACAGGAAGTGAGGTAGCTGGGTATAAGCAGGGAGAAACAGGAAATGGCTCTCTTTGCTGAGACGCTTAGGAGGAGAGGTGTGCAAGCTCCTTCTCTCTGATCTCTCAGACAGGTTTATTTGTGCAAGAAAGATATCACCACAGTGCTGAGATGACTGCCTTGATTTACTGGGGGTGGGGTCTCCTGTTAAAATTCTCTTGGGCTTTTTTCTAATTCACTTTAAAAACCTGTGGTCATCTCAGTCTCGTGCATGGCAGGAAAAAGATTCTAATACCAAAGCCAGACTTTTCAGAGCTGTTGGAAGCATTGTCGGTAGAACCCTGTGGTCACTCTGAATATTACCTGAAGAAAACATTCTTTGGAGGAGTGGGAGATAGAAGGATGACAGGTCTAAGGACAACAGACTGGCATTCTTGCAGAGAGGCGGGGAGGAAGCAGGATGCATCCATCTCACGAGTTGGCGTTCACCCACCACACTCAAGAAGGTTCCTGGGCTGGGATAGTTGAAAACACCCTGACCTCATTTCCAGGGAAGTTTGTGAAGTCATTTGAAGAGGCTTTAAAAATAAATGACTGCTAAGTAGAAATGAGTAACCCTGCTCAGAGGGAGGCCTGCGGCCCGAGAATTTCCCAAGGCCCTTGCGTACCTGTAGCTGTCACTCTCATACTATCAGCGTGACAGACTCAGGCTATCAGCAACATTTCCAAACAGCTAAGCCAAAGATACACAGCCAGCCCTCTGCGCTCTCGAGTTCAACCAACTGTAGCCTGAAAACACTGGAAGAACCACGTGTGAACTAAACTTTGGTTCCTGACGTTATTCTCTTCAACTTGCAGAATCAAGAGGCCAGCAAGATGGCCGGCGGCCAACCTGGTGGGTAAAGGAGGAAGGAGAGAAGTGACTCTAAAAAGTTGTCTTCTGGCCTCCACAAGTGTACCGTGGCCTTTGCACACCCACACAAATAAGTGAATGCAATAAACCTTTTTTTTTTTTTTTTAATTCTGCACAAAAACATTTGATGCAGCTTTTGCATTGTTTTCAGTATTACACAATCCAGAGGTGGTTTCCACAAACTGGTGGCCTGGAGAGGTTCAGTGAGAATCCAGTCTGTACATCAGGGCCTGGACATCTTTGGACTTTGGTGCGTGCAGGGATCCTGAGCCCGGTGAATGCTGGGGGACCACTTCCGTTTGCTTTGGGGAAACCAACAAAGCGTATCCTGGGATCCTCTGCCTTTCCTGCAGCACAGATACTACATATCCTCATCTCACTCCATAGACGGCTGCCTGGTGTAACTTCAGGCTTCACTGACCCATAGTAGAGGAAATGTCAGCATCACCCTTCATCTGGCTACGAAGAATAGGAAAGGAATCCCAGAAGCTGGGTGGGAGCTAAGAGACAAGGCTGGGCCATACCCCTCTGTGTTCCCAGCCTTCCAAATCTGAAGCAGCGGTCATAGAGCCCTGTGCTTGACACACAAGTCAAGGGAAACCGATGTTTCTAAGCCAGCCCTCAGGAGGAACCTTATGATGATTCTAGACTAAGGAAAATCTGTGGTTTTTTTTTTTTTTGTTTGTTTGTTTGGAATAACGTATTCAACATGACCCTACTTTTTTTGGGGGGGGGGGGCAGGGGGTAGGCAGGATCAAGTAAACAAAACTAACCTAATGTCTGATCAGCCAGAGATTGTGACTTAGTGACACAGTCTTAGCTGTAGTGTCCCCTGCTTCTTGGCCAGTGGAGATACAACCCCACAACTCCAAGTGGGATTGGCATCTGCCTCCCATATCCGCACCGTTGTGAGCCCCGCTCAGGGGTCGGGGCACACGTGCACCGTTTGCCTTCTCCGTGAGCAATGCCTTGCCCCCACACTCCCCACTGTGACCGAAACCCATCTTGTCATTCTAATGTTCCAGAGAGAAGGGCCCAAAATTTACGGGCATCCTTCTCTCTCTACCTTGATAGTGGCCTGGGGACTTAACGGTGGATCTCTGTCACCGAGACTTGAAGCTGAAGGCGGGAACAGCGCCCACATGGGTTCCTGTCCTCACAGGTTTCCCGATAAAAAGGCCACAGTGTCGGTCTGGTGCCTGGAGATCCCTGGAGGAAGTTGCTTTTTCAGCTTCCTCCCCACCTGACCCTGGAGGCCTTCCCTTTGTGTATTACAGCCCCCCCACCCCCGCCCCCAGAACGGGGAAGGCAGCTGCTGTGGGCCGAACTGCAGCCTCATTCCCACGAGGCAGAAGGCTGTGCAGGCCACTGAACAGGCCAGCTCCTGGCAAGCCTGAGTTTAAAGAGGAAACCAAACCCGGAGCCACCCTCCTGGGACGCTGGTGGGGAACACTTCCCTCTCTCTAACCTAATCAGTATGTCCCTGTCACTGGTGTTTACACAAGCGAAGCCGGGGTTGAAGGGAGGACATTTGTTCTCTCCAGCTCCACACTCAGAGAAGCACTCAGCTTGATGGGATTGGGAAAGATTAAAAATAACTCCTCCATCCTTGGCAAAAGTTTGCATGCCTTTTGCAACACCCTATTTTGCATCTGGTTTCTCCCCACCAGGCAGCTCCTGCTCCTGCCGCCGCCGCTGCTGCCCTGGCAGGCTGGAACCCCCCAGCCCGTGAGCACCTGCAGCCCTGAGCGCCTGCCTGAGCTGGGGGTGTTCTCCACACATGTTTTCCTTTACAGGAGTGCAGGAGTCTTAGACACAGAAGTCATATTAAAGCCATTTGCAAGGCTGCCAGAGGATCAGTGTGATTTACAAAGTATGAAAGTTCACCATTTATGAATTCACGGAGAATGAGTTATTTCCCATGTTTTGCTCCAGAAAAGCTTATGACACCCTCCGTTCGTTCTCGTGTGAAAGGGAATTTCAGGGAAAAGAGGCCACTTCTCACAAACATTGAAGGCGCTGAACTCAAGGTCTCAGCAACCCCTTCCCTTTGTGTATTGCAGGCTGGGTGGTGGGGTCTCTGGAAATCCTCGGCAGCCCCGCCACCCTAGTGAGAAGCATTGGAAATGGGATCTCCGACTTCTTCAGGCTTCCCTACGAGGGGCTGACGAGAGGCCCGGGGGCCTTCGTGAGTGGAGTCTCCCGAGGGACCACGTCATTCGTGAAGCACATTTCCAAAGGTAGCTGCGGACACAGGGCCTTGCCAGTCCCTGCCTCGCCGTTCATTTACCCAGCCTCCAGCCTGCAGCTTCCAAGGCTGCTCGCTTGCTGTGTAATGCTGGGCTTGCAGTAAAGCTCGTGTATGAGGCTGCTTTGGGTTTTAAACAAGTCACTGCTCTCCTGCATTGTGTGAAAATGTCCCAGAAACTTGAGGGTTTTAAACCTCTCATCGGGAAAACATGGGCCGGCTCAACTGTTACTCCATGCAATGAATGTAGAAAGATTGAAGGTGCCCATGATTTCCACTAAGCATCAGGGAACCCTACTCCAGTTGCCTTGTCGTGTCTTTAAAATGTGGATACAGTTGCCATAACTCTCAAGGACATGGATACATTGCGATGGGGAAGCAGGTTCCTAGGCCAGCCCCAGCTCTGCCCCAGCTCCCTGCAGACACAGTGCCACCTTGTGGTCCAGGCAGGTCACTATGCACGGAGGCTAAACCGCTTCCCCCCAGGAGAACGTTTTCATCTCATCCAGTGTTTGCCTGATACTTTGGTCAGGTTGGCAGTGACTGGGGAACTAACAAGGGCCATCTGAGTCCCCTTTGCTTCTCAGCAGGAGGCAGAGAAAACAGGGCAAAGGCCTCCTTGCCCATAAAAGGCATTTTACTGTAGACAATATCATAACTCTGTTATGAGTGAGCAGGTTGCGGAAGTCTCTAGAAGGCCTCAAAAGAAGACTTAAGCTTGAAATATGAGAACCCATGATCCATGGAGAGGATGGGGGCTATGGGTGGGGGGTTGGAAAGAGAACAGCAAAAGCAATAAAAACAAATTCCATGGACAATGAAAGGGAGCCTCCCCCAGCCCCAGATCCCAGTAGACTCACAGCTGTGTGCCTGGGGGACTCCTCGCTTCTGCCATGAAATCTCTGAGGTTCTCTTGTTCCTCTTTACAATATGACAACAAACACCTGCTAAATTGACCCTCAGTGGTAAATTTAGCATCCCGGCTGGTTTTTACTCTTGTTCTCCTATCTTAGCAAGATCTGAAGTGTGTGTGTGTGTGTGTGTGTGTGTGTGTGTGTGTGTGTGCATTCAGACCATAGGTAGATGGTAGCTGCAGAAATGGCACGTGCCATTTCTTCTCCATTGGTGTCTTCCTTCCGGTTTTGCTGACTGAAATAGATACGTATGCACTTGTTGGAGGGGTAGGACTTAGGAGCATGTGGCTGAAGTCTGCCTCAGGAAAACAAAATAGAATCCTTGCTCTGGTCCCTTTGTTGCCTTTTCCATCAGTCAGCATCTTGATTACCAAAACTACATAAATTTTCTGCAGTAAATAGTTGTATCCTCGGAAGCCAAATGCTAAGTTTAATTCATGGGCAAGCATGGTCACCCTTGCTGAGGAGGTCCCAAGTTCAAAGCCAGTCTGGCTTGCATAAGAGAAGAGAGGAGAGAGGGAGAAGACTGAATTCATAAAAAGACAGTAATTTTAGACCTGAAGCAGGAACATGTCTTGGTAGTCCATCTAAAACCAAGCAACATAACCTTTGCCTATAAAATGAGCTCAGAAAAACAGGTAAGCTAGGGATGTGGTCAGTAGTAGAATGCTTACCTAGCAAAAGCAAGGCCAAGGCTCAGTACTCACTAACACACACTCACACATACCCTCACCACACACACACACACTCACCACACATACACAGACACCACACACTCACACACACCCTCACCACACACATACACACACTCACCACACATACACAGACACACACACACTCACCAGAGTTGGTAAATTTTAACCTTTTAAAACTGGACCCTATGGAGGGCATCAGAAGTATTTCTCCAAGTCTCAGCAAATGACCAGAAGGGTGTAGAGTTCTGGCACTCCCACGCTCTGGAAGAACAGAGTGTCACTCCCCACCCGGCATACCAGGGAGACCAGGGGTGCTGCTGGGTTGTGCTTTCCTCATCCCACCCTCCAAACCTCCAGGGCTAACACCTCATGTCCACCGTGTCTGTGACAAGGAACCAACCCATGCTCTTGTACCCTCAGGTACCTTGACGTCCATCACCAACTTGGCCACCAGCCTGGCCCGAAATATGGACCGGCTCTCGCTGGATGAGGAGCACTACAACCGGCAAGAGGAGTGGCGGCGACAGCTCCCCGAGAGCCTGGGCGAGGGACTGCGACAAGGCCTGTCCAGGCTGGGCATCAGCCTGCTCGGTAAGGGCACACCTGTCCGTCTGCACTCGGCTCTGCAGGCTCTCCCAGGAATGGCCACAGTGCCTCCTCCGTGGGACTGGTCGTGAAGGGCATGACCTTTCATAGGCAGAGCTGAGATTAGAGAGGGCATCCGTGGAGCATAGGGACAGGACCCATTCACAGAGGTATGCTCCTTAACGGCTGTGTAAGCACTGCCCAGGGAAGAGACTACCCTGCAGCATGCCTGCACTCTCCCTTCCCTGTCTAACCATGGGCGCGGTGTGCAGGCTCCAAAGCAAAGGATAACTGCCCAGGAGTGAGTCGCCAGCAGCCTCGCCAAAGCCTTCACTCCCCATAACCACGGCTGCCTGCTTTTGTCTCGGCAGCACTTGAGCCATGTGCACTACATACTGTAAACTGTAGCGAGGAGCCAGCCTCCCCTTCGATCTACTTATTTCAGATCAGCCCATCTCAAAGCAATTATTGTTTGTCAAGCAGCCAGGTGTTCTAGTTAGATGTGAAGACTGCTGTGGGTATTTCAAACTATCAAGTGTTTGAAAATAAGTTGCTTTGGAAAAACCTATAAAAAGGAGGCCTCAGCACTAGAAATTTGCAGGGTGGGATTTTCAAGGGTGTTTTTTGTTTATTTGCTTGCAAAGGAATTTAAAACTGGACCGATTGGCACCCTGCCTGCCACGAACCTGAGGGGGTGTGCAGGGTGTGGAGATCTAGGGTAGCTACCAAGGTGCAGAGCACAGGGCAGAGG